AAGTTTCATGCCTTGCACAAGAAGTTTTCTCAGTCAACTGCTCAGATGCTTGAAAATCAACTATATTAGGTCAAAAGTCAACTGTGGCCCCCATACAGTCAAACTTTAAGATTTTTGGTCAACATCAACACTGTGAAGTGATATCCATCATTTGATCAAGGTTTGATCATTATTCCCTAAGGAATGCTCCTAATTCATCAAAACTCAAAAGTTGCTAAATTAGGGTTTCTTAGGAAAAGTCAACCAAACTTTGACCAAGCATAACTTTCTCATACTTTATCAGAAATTTTCCAATCAAGGCTCATTTTGAAGAGAATTCAATTCCCTACAACTCATTTTCAGCCCTTCAGCTCAAGAAATTAACTCATGAAAAGATATGAATTCAGAAATTATAGGTCATTCCAAAAAGTCAACAAAAACACCTTTTGGTCAAAGCTTCTTACATGAACATGGAAGATCCAATTGAGATGAAACCAAAAGGGTTGTTTAGGGGACATCCTAAGCTTTCTAAAAAGTCAAAGAACACCCTCTTAGGGTAAAACTTGAGAAAGATATGCATTGTCAAAGTTGGCCAGTTTTCGGAAAAATGCATGAAGCAAATATTGACCAAACTTGGATTTTTTTCCAAATGGGCCTAATTTTTCAAGTTTGGAACTTGTTCTCAACATAGTCCACGACCCATAAACCCATCCATGCTTTATCTTCTCATTTATTTTATTTATTTTGATTTTTAATCATTAAAAATCCAAATTAAATTAAATAAATGATATAAAAATATTTTTGGATGGTTTTCCCATTTAATAAATGGCAATATATGCTGATTATGGCCAAGAGATCGTGCAAGGCATGGAAAAGGAAGAGAATATTCAAAAATGGAAAGTTTGGAAGCAATTGTAAAAGGCCATTATTCTTTTGGATTCTCTCCATATATGTTAACCTAGATCTTGCATCATACATAAGGAAGAGTTTGCAACCCTAAAGAAGGGGATACACACGTACAACTGCCTCCAGAAACCCTAAATTATTTGCTCTAAAAATCAAAGAAAAAGTGCAATTCGTATCAATTCTTTCAGCTCTTTTCCAAATAAAGCAAGCACTCAATCTTCCTCCTGAAGACTCCAGGAAGCATTCCTCACAGTTAAGCAAGCCCAACACACGTAGAAATCCCCTCACACGATTCCTCTGATTGGTAAATTTTCTCTACTCTCAAACTCGCATAACACTTAACTTAAATCCATATCAATTGCATACATGTGTTTCTATTGATGATTGTGGGTGTTTGAACGTATAACATGTAAAGTTAAGGCCCACAATCGTCCTCTGACATTAACGACCGTGTTTTCACCTTTTTTCCATAGCGATGCTTGCAGGCTTTTTTAGGGCATGAGGATGTCATCATTCGATCCGCAACCCTCGAATTAGGGGGGGTAAGGTCCAGTTATTGCTTTTTTTTCCAGGTTTACGCAAGTTTGGAAAAAAGAGGTGACCGGAGAAGGTGATCGGAGCTAAGGCTTTGGTGCCTCTCCGTGAGTCAATGCTGGGGGGTTTAGTTTGACTCTGGCGTGGCATCTAGTGATGTTTTGATTGGTTTATTCAACAACCCGGGGCCCATGTTGCTTGCATGGATGAAAAATCAGCACTTAACAAGCTTTTCCCTTTATATTATTTTTGTTTGGTTATATATAAGAGTTAACATCCAACACAGTTGGTCAGGGGAAGGAAGTATGAAGCTCATGTCCTGGGTTCGATCCCAGGCGTGAGCTTTTGGCATTTTTCCATTATTTTCACAGGATCCAGTGTGCCTCACCATCCAGAGTCCATCATACGCCTCGGATGCACAATTATCAGATCCATCTCCATCCAGATCGAACGCCCAGCATACGCAGGTCCGCCATGAATCCTCAAGAGATTACCTCACTGGATCACGCGCTAGACTCTGGGCCAACATGTTGGGCCCATTACAAATTTGGCAGCACACTCCCCAGTCAGCTCATGACATTAGGCCCAATTCCTTTAATTATTTTTTCTAATTTCTTTATTTAGTTTGTCTTAATGTCTTGTTCTAATTATTTTCACAAAAAAATCATTTTTTTAACTAAATCAGAAAATCACTAAAAAATTAGATTTAGTTTTTTTCCATAGAATATTTAATTGCAATTAATTAATTAGCCTAATTAGGTTAATTTAAATTCCTCTTTTTTTTTGTAATTAAAATTCAATAGAAAATTAGGTAAACTTGAAAACTTTTTTTTTATAATTAAAAGTAAATAGAAATTAGGTTAATTTACAAGATTAATCACTTTTCTCAAGAAAAATACAAAAATATCTTTTCCTCATTCCCGTCTTAATTCGCCGCACGCGTTTTATTTATTTATTTCAAATTATTGTATCTGCTTTGGGATTGTAATAGATTAATTAGGATTTTGAGTTTTCGCATCCTTATTTTCAGCCCAATATTTGTGTATCTGCCCAAAAGCCTTGTAATAGCGTTGATTTTATTTTTGCATTCTTTAAGTTCCGCAACTATTAACTGCCTAGATGTATGAATAATAGGATTGAATGGCAAGACAAATAACTTTTAAAACGGTAGATAACCCTAATTGTGCAAAGATAATTAACTGAAAAAACGCACTCGCACATGCTCACTCATAGGGTTTGCCTCACTTGGTTGCCTCAGAAAACAATGGTCACGTCCCTCGAATATAGGGATATCTTAGCAAAGACCCGTGATTCAAAGTCGTCATAAAGATCATAGTCCCTACTTGTCCCTCGAGTTGCTTACCAAAAAATGATCTTATGACGATAGTTCCTTCGAAATGCTAAGGTATCCTTACTTGTTTCCTTCAATGACCATTTCGTCCCTTTCGAATGTCTCTTAAAACTCCAACGATGGAGCTACCTACTCCTTAATAGTAGGATAGCACCGTTTAAAGGAAATAAGAAAATGAATAGCCTTTTTCGAGTAGGTAGAAACTCTTGAGTACTTGATCAAATAAACTTTTACACCATACACTTTCAAACAAACTTTTCAAACTAAAGTTTTCAAAAACACTTTATCACACTCTTGAGGACTGATACAAGGGTTACCATAAAGTGAATCGCCGCACTAAGGCAATTTTAAAACTTTTTCAAAGCACACAAACACATAAAATAAATTTAAAAATTAGCAAGTACTTAAGAGCCCTGGAAAATCACGGATGGAAAGGGTGCTAACACCTTCCCTTTCTATAATCTACCCCTCGTTCTCAAAAACTCTCGAAAAAAGGTTTTGTCTGTTCTTTTTCCTTTCCTTAGTTGGATGAAATAAAAGTCGGTGACGACTCTTGCTTACCGCAACATTTGCGAACAAAAAATGCAAACCAGTATAACAGTCGGTTCTACCACTGTATCACAGATACCATATTATTATTTGACTAGTCCATAATTTACTTGAACTCAAAACAGAAAATGATGAAATGCTTCTCTTGCATCAGCTCAATGACATCAAAGTTGAGATGATGGATCATCATAGCTAACCTATTATGTCCTTACTCTGAGAAAGGAATCATTTTACATCAGATGAAGTATGAACTAGAGCTTCTAAAGAGATTTGAGCTAGAAAAATGCAAGGTTGCTATCACACCTGCTGATACGAAACAGAAGTTGGATTCTGATTCTGATGGAGAGGATGTGGATGCTACAACCTTCAAACAGATGGTTGATTCTCTAAGGTATTTGTGTAATATCATACCTGATATTTGCTATGCAGTTGGAATGGTTAGCAGATTTATTAGCAAACCAAAGTGGTCCCATTACCAAGCTGCAGTCAAGATTCTGAGGTATGTAAAGGGAACTCTGAAATATGGAGTGTTATTTCCGTCTGGAAGAAAGATCGAATCAGAACTTGAGTTATTCTGATTCTGATTGGTGCGAAGATAGAGTTGATAGAAGAAGTACTTTTGGGTACTTATTCAAATTTCTAGGAGGTCTTATTTCTTGTTGTTCCAAGAAGTAACATGTTGTTGCTCTATCAATCTGTGAAGCTCAATATATTGCAGGTGCTCTGACTGCATGTCAAGCTGTGTGGATTCTGAACTTGCTGAAAGATCTGAAGATTGAGGTAAATAAACCTCTGAAACTGATAATTGATAACAAGTCTACAATCAATCTTGCCAAGAATTCAGTGTTGCACGGGAGAAGCAAGCATATTGAGACCAGGCATCATTTTCTGAGGAATCAAGTTCAGAATGGAATAATAGAGGTTGTGCACTATAGCACCCAGAAGCAGCTGGCAGATGTTCTGACAAAGGCTATCAAAACTGATCAATTTCTTGGATTAAGGGATGGAATTGGCGTTGTCAGTTTTTGGTAAATATAAATTAAGAGATAGTGTTAGAATTTATTTAGATTTAATTAAACATTAATTTATATTTAGAAATATCTTTTAGATTATTTATATCTTTGTTAGAAGATATAAATCTTAGATCTTCTTATATCTTTGTAGAAGATATATTTTAGATTTAATTTGTATGTATAAATAACTTAGTGGAATAGATTATTGTAATTCATTGTAAATCCTTATTTTTGAAACTATCACTAAATATTCCTTTTGTCTTTTATCTTTCTTATGCTCCAACAACTTACACATTAAATAACCATAATGAAAACTAATTAACAAAAAAAAGGGACAAATTAACTAATTTCTCTAACTTCATCATTGTATGATATGAAAAAACATATTGAAAATTCGATCAAATTTAACTTGAATTGTGAACGTTATTTTGGAGATTTTATTGCGGTTTCGATTCTATTTGAAAGGTTTAAAACTATTGAGTTAAGATTAATCAATTGATCTCATTTGATTCCATATCTCATTCAATCTTTAAGACATTGTGAGAGAATCCTACAAAATATGCACTAATTAAGAGGCCAGTTGTGCTAGCCATAGAACATGAAAGTTTCAATAATTAACTAGATCCATCAACAACACTAATTCTTACTAATCATTATATATATCATAATTAAATTGCTAGATTATTTCCTTCATCGAGTTCTTTGAGTTGAATATAGGCCGAATTGATGAAAGCATTTGCTTCTTTAGTTGGTTCCTCTATCAATTCTTTGAGCCTGTCCAGTGCCATGCAATATGCTTCCTGTAGTGTCCAACAATATATCATATATATGTGACCTAGTTAGGCAACACAATAAAATTCTATATAATATGGATAAAAAAGAACGTACAACTTTGCATGTGAAACTTGGCATTAATTGGTGAATTGTGGTGGTTGGGTTTAGGGTTTCAGAATAAATTTTTTTTATAATGTTTTTAGATTCTTATGTATTCTGAAGTTGAGTTTTTTTTTTTTTTTTTAATTTATATAAATAATTTTTCATTAAAAAATTGCTCCATAAATTGAGACAAGTATATTGTAATAAATATAATATTTTGATCATGAAAATTGTTTAAATTGCGATGTTTTACTTCCGAAAATATTCTTTATATTCTATACAAATAAATTATCAATAACTAACTAATTTGCATAGATAAAAACTTTTTAAATAAAACACAAGTAACAACTTTTAAAAATAAAATCATGTATATTAATTATTGACTATTAATGTAGACAATACCATGAAGTGATCAATCTCTGAAGTGTTTGGACTAGTCGTTTCTTTGGACTTTGTGTTCACCAATTTCTTCCATGCATCAGGTTTTATATCAAACTCTCCAGCATCCTCAGATCCAACCTAAGAAGTAAAAGAATTTTATATATATTGACACATTAATTAAACACACAAAAAATTAAAATAAATAGCTCATAGTTTATAAATGTGCTTTAATTAATCCATTTAATATATTATTCCTCTTGGTTTGGCCATGGTTCTAAGCTATTTTTTAAATAATTATATATTAATATATGCTTTAATATTTTATGTCTCTCTCTCATAATTGTTGACCATGCAAAAGCAAAATAGTTCATTAATTTATAGAAAAAGTTTCATTACAAAAATATCAAAATAAAGAGATAAAAAAAAGGGAAAAACCCTATTCTGAGACAAATCACTCATAAATAAAATTTATTTTTTTCAAATGATTAGTCTTCACAATTACATGTGAAAAATACATAAATATATAAATAAAAGAAAAGAAATTATATAAAAGTAAAATTAATTACCTTCAAACAGTTAATGTGAGACTCAATCAATACTTCAAATAAAGGATGGCTTGCAATAATCTTCTTTATAGCCTCTTCATCATTTTCTTTTTCTTTTCCAACATCATTTTCTTCAATCTCTTTTCTCATTCCAATTTCTTTACCCTCCTCCATCTCTCTCTAGCTATCACAATCTAAACTCTATGTCTTATACAAATGTAGCAACCGAATCAAAGACTTTGGCACAAACAAACAAGCACTAAGTACATATATAGAAAAAATTTCCATCAAAGATAAAAGAGTTTTGTACTAAGGTTATTAACCAACTGTGACTATAAATGATGAAGCGTAGTTATCAAAAATGTACTTGATGTCATTATTTACCTTTTAATGGTAAAAATCAGTATGAATACAAGTTAATGTATGGAAAAAAAAGATAAAAGGTTAAAACTATGTGGGCTTCCCATGTTTCTCTTTTTTGGTTTGAAAGCAACTTGTCAAAGATTTTATGATATGATTAAAGTAGCTTTCAGGACTTTGTATGGTGTACCCTTTTTTTGGACATATTCTATATTCTCCCCTATCTTGGGCAAAAATTTTCATTTCATTTGACATGTTTCTGACTAAACTGTTCATCAGTGGAACTCCTCACTTTGTTGCATCATTTTCTTTACGAGGTAAAACAGCTAGTTACACCAACTTTGTTTTGGCAAAGCTTAAATTATTGATATAGATATATGATAAAAGCCTTATACCTGACACTTGGAAAACTTATATTTGTTTAAAAGGTGAGGGGTCAATAATATATCAATAAAATAAAATACTTTAATCGATACAACATACCTTTGATAATCTCTAAAGTATGAGGTGTGTAAGAGGGAAATATTTTAGATGAGAAACGAGAATGTATAAAATAGTTCATATATGAGATATGTAAGAGCGAAATACTTTAGGAGAGAGATTTTATTATACATAGTCGCTCAAATATGAATTTTATAAGATTGATATGCTTTAGCTGAGGAATTAGATTGTGCATAATCCCTCAAGCATGAGGTTTATAAGAGTGAAATATTTCAATTGAGGAACTTGATTATACCCGATCCTTCAAATATGAGGCGTGTGAAAACTAAATGCTTAAGGTGAGATACTAGATTCCGCATAATGTTTAGTCTTGTGCAAGGGCGATATGTTTTGTCTTATGTTTAGTCATAATGTTGTCACATGAAGTAAGAACCATCTTTTGTTGTGGTTATTTTCTTGTGCTTTGGTCTTTCACTACTACAAAAAGAGTTTTTCACCACGATTGAAAAAGTGATATCATCACGGGTGATGAATGTTATACCCTGTTAAACTCCACAAATCAATTTAAATAAACTAATTTAAAATCACAACACAATGGTCTCACACGTCATATAAATATAAATCAATCATGCTCCATAACACGGGTTACCGAAAAAGAAGTTAAATCACACATTTCATACATAGGATGTTACACGACATCCAAACATATTTGATAACTCACCTGAGATGTTATACGACATCAAAACACATCTGAATAGCATCACAGCAGAATACAATTGAAACATATAATCAAACACATCATCGTCTCATAAAACCTTTTTCAACTTCAATCGACATAAATAAGAGATTCATAATGTTCTACTCTCAACAACATAACACATAGGTTCAACAAACAATCAACAAATATAAATAATGCAAAAACGGTTCCCACCCCGATGTTATATGATCAGAGAAAGACCATACTACAAATAAACGACACTAAATGGAAGGCACTTCAAGAGTTATCTTTCCACTTACTTCAGCAACGCTACTCTGGAGAATCTGCATGTTACCCACGTAGAGGCAACATTCAAATAGAAGGAGTGAGAAATCAAAATCAATAATCAAAGGCATATACTGCAGGATAGGATATCAACACATAACATATTCTACACAATCTCAATTACAATATATCAATTATACATTCTCACACCAAACACACCAATCAATCACAACTCAATAAATATAACTCAACAAATATACATATGACTCGTTATAAGATGCAACTCATTATGCAACTCTAAGCATATACATGTGGTACCATATCATCAACAATTGGTTCACTCGAGAATCGGGTTCTTCCTGCTCGAATCTTGAATCCACTCTGCTCGGATCTGGGACAAGTCATCAATTCATCTTGCTTGGATTACAACTTGCCTCTTTCATCAACAACAACGACATATGAATGCATGTCAAAAAACGTCAATGCAACAACAACATAGAGTTTAAAGTCTCCTCCGACAATAAACAACATGCATTGACCCACGATAATAGTTCACCCTACTCGAACAGTTATCCAACAACACAACAACAATATAATATTATTCAATATCAATATCATTCAACATTTCAACATCAATACTCACTATAAGCCAACCACCACAACAATATAGTTATAAAGTTAACAAGTATTCAATAGAAAAAATAGTAATCAGGCACAACACCATCACTTGTCTATACACAACCATCTCTCATCAAAATTACATCAAAATTAATAAAATCTATTAAAATTATTTTTAATCATCAAAATCACGCCAAACAACCCCTAACACTACCCAACAGTAGTCAACAGTCTCAAAAACTTAAAAGAATCGAAAACAACATTTTTATAAATTCACAACATCTCAACATAATATTTTCATTAATTTATTCTATACTCACTACAAAAAAGAAGCTTAGTTGCCACGTGAAAATCACGTGGCAAACATCAAAATCACGTGGCAAAGCAAAATTAGCGACGTGGTGAGTTATGTCGCTGGGGAGTTAGTGGCAAGCAAGTAGCGACGTGATTCCCACGTCACAAAGTTGTGACGTGGTATTCACGTCGCTACATATTTGTTAATGGCAGCTTTATTAGCGACGTGAGAGTCATGTCACTAATTTGTGACATGATTCCCACGTCGCTACAGGGGACGTTTTTATTTTTTAAAAAATTGTTAATAATTATTTTTTATATTAATTCATTAATGTAATAAAATTTAAATAATAAAATTTATATAATAAAATTTAAATAATAAAATTTATATAATAAAATTTATATATTAAAATTTATATAATAAATTTTATATAATAAAATTTATATATTAAAATTATTAGAATAATAGTATTTTATTTTATATTTCGAATAATAGAATTTTATAAAATAAATTCACATAATTAAATGTTATATAATTTATTAATTTAAAATGATAAAAATAAATATCTTACATAAATGCAAATATAAAAACGAAATAAAAAAAAAGTTTTCACGGGGCATCTTCACCCGGAAAATTATCAAGATCAAAGTCATCAAGTCCGTCATCATCCGGCTGTGTATGATCAGGAACATTTTGATTTCGACCGCCTTGCATAAACTGTCTCATCTGCTCCTCCATATCAGATTGCCGCTTCCGCATGATCTCTAACTGACTCTCCTGCTCTTGCCTCATTGTCGTCATTTGGGCCTCCATTTCGCGTCTCACTTCACTGGCCGCCAATTGTCGTACTGTTTCAAGTTGAACCTGAGTCAGATTGGGTTGACGTGACCCCCCTTCTCCATCTCTAAGTCTTTGAAACAGATTACGATCACCAACTCTCAAGCCGGCGGCCAAATTTCCTCCCGCAAAAAAGCAACCATTAGGCCCTTTTCCATTAACAACCTCATTCCAAATATAGAAATCAACATCCCCATTAAGCGGCTCCCCCTCTGCTGGCCTATATTGCGGATTGTGTTCCAGAAAACGTGCTAGCAATGTTTGATAATCATCCTACACATACATTAAATAATACAATTAAAAAAAATTAAAACATTTATATATTAAATTATACTAAATTCAAATATATTAAAAATTTGTCACGTGATTTTCACAAATCAACTTATGAATTGCCACGTGAGTTTCCCGTGGCAATGTATCAGTTGCCATATGAAAATCAGTCACCTGGCAATTTATCAGTTGCCACATGATAATCACGCCACAACTTATAGATTGCCACGTGGAAATAACGTCACTATTTTTGTTATTAACTTAAAAAAAAAACATAAGTTTAATTACTTACAAAAGCTTTCTGGGTGCGGTCGTCGACAAAACCTCCCGATTTTTTTGTCCGAGTCCTCGTAATCAACTCAATGATCAATGGCGGTCTCCCCATCTCCTTAGTCTAAACAATAAAGTTAAAAATAATTAGTAAAAAATATTATGAATAAAAATATATATAACTTAAAAAATTAGTAATATTTACCATCCGCCGGACATGCTCTGCAGTGCTAATACTTCCAACAGTATTGACACATCCCCCCTTTTCGGATGCCCTCATCTTCTTAAAATTTTCGGATTTGGCCTTGAATTCTGGCGAACTCCAATATGTACGAAGTTCGCCAAAAACCTCTACGCCTATCCAGTTAGGACGGATACCATGCAGCTCATAATTCTCCCTAACCCGCCGCATGATATCAGAAAATCTTCTAGAAGTTCTGCTATAATATATTTTTTCCATTATTTTCTCATTCAACGGATCCCACACACATTTTTCCTGCAATGTTGTATGACATTAAAATAAAAAGTTAAGCAATTATCATTAAAATGTGACTTAAATAACAATACTAAAAAAATATAATAAATTTCCAACTTAAATAAATAACAATACCTTAAATTTTTTAAACCATTCTTCTTTATTTGTAACCTCGCCAAAGTTCTTCCAAGAGGATTTATACATTTGCTGGATTATATAGTTAATAACCTTGGCAGCCGTCCGACTAGGCGCGAAACTAAACAACAAGATTTTGAATAAACAATATTAATTATAAATTTATACAAAATATTAAAATGAATATGTACTTAAATAAAAGTTTATATAAGAAACTTACTTGCTTCCTTCGGGCCAAATCCAAAACCTCCCGTCAATTACATGAATCTCACTCGGATCATCTGATCTCTCACGAATATCAGCTCCATCTATATCATCAGCTACGACATCTGCATCACCGCCAGCCTGTGTAGGACGTGGGGTGCTGGATCCTGCAGCCTGTGTGGGATGAGGGGTGCGTGACCCTCCGGTCCGTCTAGGACGTGGGGCGCGGGATCCTGCAGCCTGTGCCGGACGTGAACTGTTGGGTCCTCCAATGTGTGTGGAGTGTG